AGTCAGAACGACCAAGAAAGGTCAATGTTTTGAGTCGATGCAGGATGTCAAGGCAGCCCTGACAATGTCAAGATGCTCAGGAAAGACAATTTCCAGCACTGCTTCCGAAAGTGTTGGGAGAGGAGGGAGGGCTCTCGGAGGGATGAAGGCTGTGTGTCCCTACTGCACTGTTCAGTTTGAACACACACCACAGCTTTGGACCACAACTCCTACTCTCAGGGCCGGTGCTCGGCTGTGACTGTGTAAGTCTCATGACTTCACAGTTTAGGGTTTGTGGCCACAGCAAAGTGAAGAGTGAAGCCAAGGTTTCCAAAGGGCTCTGAAGCTCAAGCAGCCTTGGGGTTTCAACTACCCTGTCGTGCCTTCCATGAAAGCTGCTGGCCCTTGGAGCAGCTGTGGGATGAGCAGTAATGTCATTTACAACTTTTACCTTCCTCAGCAAGCCTTGCGGGGAACGGTAAATCTGTGCTGACGGAAACTAAAATTAACGAAGGCCTGCTAACATGTGCGGTAACTGGCGGGGAGAGTTTTGGTTCTCAGCGTGAAAGGGAAACCTGAGCCCATAGCCACTTGTCCCACTGGGACAAGGAAAGAAGCGTCTCCAACCTTTGACAGCGGATCTTCTCGCCCAGGCCACACCCAGCACAGGCAGGGTCCAGGTGAGAGGGCAACTGGAGGCCCACGTGTCTCATGTCTAAATATTTAATTTATAAATCAAGTTAACACACTCCTAAATAAGATATTTAGTCTCCTGCCCTAACAAGTACAACTTTGTAATGACAAAGTTAAAAAATACACGTAAAGCTATGGCTGTTATACGATGCCTATAAAATGCCTAAGATGACTGGGTACATCTGAGTGCTGTGTTGGCATCTGTCCGGCAGGTGGACAGACATTAACAGGCTGGGGGCCACGGGGCAGGCGGAGGTTCCAGACTAGCAGCTTCGCCAGTTATAGCTAAGTTCAGAGAGATTTCAGTATGTACTTTCTTCGTAATAATCTGTTAGATCTCAGACCTAAAGCGATTCCCACAGAGCACAGGGACACCTCTGGGGCTTAAAAGACCTGGTTCCAACCCGAGAGAGAGAGCAGCAGCCACACTGCGGGGACCGGGCCTCCGGGCTTGGGGCCCCACCCACACCCGTGTCTCCGGCAGGACACAGAGCCATGGCAGGCTGCTCGGAAGCTGAGGCTCCCTGTCCCCACCCCTGTTGCTCCGCTCTTTTTGCTGTGTCTCCTTCAGAATGGAGGTGTCTGTTCTGTGCTTTTGTAGGTAGATCATTGATTCTGCAAGCTAAGGCTGCAGCCAGCTTGCCGGGCGGTGGGGGAAGTATCAGACAAGTATTTGACTCTGGACTGTTTGCTTGTGTATGTGTGTGTGTGTGTGTGTGTGTGTGTGTGTGTGTGTGTGTGTGTGTGTGTGTGTGTGTGTGTGTGTGTGTGTGTGTGTGTGTGTGTGTGGTGCTCAGGAATAAATCTCAGGGTCTTTGCACTTAGCTCTATTCCCAGCCCTTTTTGGTTTGTTATCTTGACACAGGATCTTGCAAAGTTGCCCATACCGGGCTCCAGTTGTAATCTTCCTGCCTCAGCCTCCCAAAGGGCTTGGATTAGAGGACCACTTCTGTGCCCAGCTGGACTTTGAATTTTTGACTAGACAGATGCTCAGTCTAAGACTTTGGAGCTACCGGCATGGAATGGAATTAGAAAGGTAGGAATTTGGGAGGTCAGGGCAGAGCTGGGGTCTGGGTGAGTCCTCCAGACTTCCAGGATAGGAGTCGTCACCTCAAACCCAGTCAGCGGCCTGGAGGCGGTGCCCCTGGGAGGTGCCTGCTGTGGCTCGTGCGTAAACCATGCACACATTGATGGGTTAGTGGTGAACGGACAACTGAGAGGCGGCTTCGCTGAGAAGAGCAAGTTCTCCGGCGCATGTTTCTGCCGCGCATGCTTCTCCCTCACCCAGCTCATGCCTCCGCCACTCCGCGGTGCAGCCAGAAGACGCTCAGCAGACTCGGCTGAGACCACCACCAGGCCCTCGCAATTCCCAACCTCCAGAACCACGATCCAGACAAACTTCTGTACTTTGTAAATCACCCAGGCTCGTGTTTCCAGTTATAGCCAGAGAAAGAACACCAAGAAAAGGAAAATGCAAACCTACTTGAGGAGCTAATATGAAAAAAAGAATGCAAAATATTTCATCGGTAGGCTTGGCACTTATTATACTTTGAAATGGCAATAATATTGGTAAATATTTTTTGCGGTGAACTAACCACACCTATAATGATAAAATGACTAAATGTAATAGCATCGATGCTGACCCTTAGAATTTCACAGAAATGAACAATTAATAGTGGAAGGAGAAGAGATCGGGTAATAATTTCAAGTTCTCAGTGTCCAAAAGTAAATCATACAGTGCGTCGATATGAAATGAAAAGCCCGCATAGTCCACTGAACACGGGAGTTAAGGAGGACGAAGACCTCGGAGTGGTGGACGTGCACGGCACCCTCCTCGTTTTTCGGTGGTTTCACAGGACAGAGAGCCGGGACGCTGTCCAGCTTGCTTGGGCAGACCTGAGACCGAAGCCTTTGTCTTCCTAACACAGCTGCAGAGCCCAGCAGTCCAGAGGCTCCAGCAGCTTATTTTCATCCACTGAACTAAGACCGTGTGTGCAGCATGAGGAGATGTGCCGATGGGCCCACGAAGGGCCTTGGTGCTGCCCCAGCCAGCACGAGGGAGGACTCCAGGAGACGGCGACCAGGAGATAAGGCTCAGCTATCCGGACCTGTCCAAAAGCCTGACAAGGTAGATCGCGCGGCCTCTTAGATAAGCTGCCTCTTCCACATAGGCTGCAGGACATGCCCTCTGGTGGGTGACAGGTAAGTGTCCCACACAGCAGGCAGATCGCTGTGTGGGCTGCGCGGCTCCATCCTGAGCGAATCACAGACTTCACAGTAAACTCTACATCCACAGAAGCAACAAGTCTCTTGTGTTAATAAATTGCACACAGTTACAAGTTCTTAAAATGTAACCGACTTGTCAAGCAGTTGCAGGTAATGAAACATCACCATCCATGAGTGATTTACTGGCACTTTCTCTTTTGTTTATAAAATTTCCATTGTGCCACTCCACAGTTATGGGCCTAGATGGCAATGGAGTCTGGCCAGGCCATGGGGTCACACGTGGCTTCAGTGCTTAAAGCCGAGGTCCAAGCCTCAGAAGAGGAGCTGGGACCCTGTGTGAATTTACACATGACAAAGGAGAGGCCTGGCCAGCTGGCAACCACTTTTCCACTGTCCACTCCCGTGGATAACAGGTTTGATCTGCAAACTCACCAACACGATTTTCCACTTTTCATCTTTTAAATATTTCACAGCACTTGTGTGCAGCCCTACGGCCTTTTGGTCACTTCATAGAAGACTCATTTTCAAAATATTGTTTCCTACTTCATCGTCCCCTGAGCAGGAAGTAAGGCATATGTGATAGTGTGTTGGCTTCTCTCCCCTTTAGGTCACTACCCACCAAACTCAACCTAATAGCTATTCAGTGTTGTGAAGAACTAATGCTAAAAATTGTACACATATCCCTGTCTACATCCCATCACTAAACTACCATAAAACTGTTGAGGGGCAGGTTATATCTTCTGCTAAAAACACCACAGACAAATATAAACAACCAAAGTATAGAGAACAAAGCAGATTAAGGAAAAAGTCTTTCTACGAAACATCTGGCAGAACACGTACTAATCACACAGATACTTCACCAACATAGTCAGACCCATTTGCATAATCATATGTTGGTAACAGAAAAGCTTCACTTTTTGAAAATGGAGTAGAAGCAATCTGATGTGTACTTGGGACAGTCAGCAGACTTCCTGAGGGTTGGGAGCCCCCACATCCCTGGCTTCTGTGAGATCCTCTGTGTAATTACTGAACAGCCTGGGTTTCACCTTCTGATTCATTGCACCAGGTAAAGATTCCGCATTTTGGAGGCCTGTATCCTTGCACCAGTCAGCTCCTGGTATTCACTGATATTTTCTGTCCTTTGCAAATTATCGCACCAAGTAAGTTTTCTGGCACTGCTGTCTCAGAGATGTCCTTTGGTCCATCTGTGGATTTTTCTGTGCCTCTACTGGCACCACAAGCAAGGGGGGGAAACAGCTCCAAAATATCCAGCGATTGCAGCAGTAGTGGCAGCCAGGCTCGATATTGCAAATGTGCCCACTTACCTCCAGCTGTGGCTCCCCCAGCCGAGGCTTCCCTGGCATAGAGAGCCAACACATTGGCTGCTGTTGTGCTGCTGACTTGACACCGGCAGTTATTGCGGCAAATCCTTGTTGCCACTGTTTGGCTGAGTCCTAACCATATCATGCTGAGGGTGTATCCACAGCTAGGTAAAGCGTCAAGTGTGGCAGTGACGCCCACCATGCAATTGTCTGTGAAGCCAGAAAAGACTGATGGAAAGAAAGATGGCTACACCAGCAAGGTTAGCCGGGCCCCAGCCCTGCAGTTGCAGCAACAGCTGTTAGAACTTCAGCAGTGTTTGCATAAGAAGATCTGGTTAGACTGGAATTTGCACAGGAGTCTTCACATTGGCAGAACTGACATGGGGACAGCTGCCACTCTGGCTCCTCTCATATCTTCTGGGTGATTAAATTCGATGTCTCTGCGGTCTGTTTCAGATTCTGCACTCACAGGGACAGCCCTCTGCTGCAAGGTGATCACACTGGGGGTCTGGGAGAGCTGTACCCGAGGCCTTGATGGCTCTACTGTGCCTTTCACAGTAGCACTTCCCAGCCCAGTGAGCAACTGCTGTGCTGCTGGAGCCACGGTACAGTCTGCCTGGTCACTTCTGGAGGTGCTTGTGGGGTCTGACAGAGAGGACTTGGTGGTGTAAGGCAGATGGCGACGCTGGTTGTGATTCGAATTGACAGCAGCGGAGGAGCGCGGAGGAGGCACGTGGCTCACAGGAAGGTTCGGGAAGCAGAGAGGGGTCACGGGAGGAGGGAAGGGAAGACCCTGCCTGACCACGCCCCTCCTCACACCACATTTTCCTCACAGCCATGAGTGGATGAACCCTCCGCGAGCTGGGGGCTTCGGGGGGCGATCTAGATAAAAAGCATAACAGCCCCGGAAAAGAAAACCCCAAAATCTGGGTAAGTACAGTGTGGTTTCTCACAAAGAGATGTTGCACTTCCTCGACGCCCCTTGGAAACGTTAACGGCCTGGTGCCTTCTCCTTCACGGTCTTCAGCCGCCCGCATCCCACGAAGACCTTTACCAAGCACAGTCCCCCTAACACAGACGGTGCTGAGGGAAAATGCTTGTTTGCTGACAAGTGCAGACAGTTTGACGTTTTCAGGGATGTCTGTGTATTCAGCCATGGCACAGAAAGTGGGCTGTAATAAATGCAGCAAAACGTCAAGACTGTGGCGAAGATCTTTCAAACCAAACAGCAATAAACAAGTTTAAATAAGGAGAAAAAACCATAATTTTACATTTTTAGTAGACTGACAAATACAAGCATTTGTCTCGAAGATACCAAATTAATTTTGCAAATGTAAGAACTAATTAATTTTGTTATGATCCCTCTTTGTCTTTCTGTTAATATGGTTATAAATTATTTTTATGAGAGAAGGCATATTTTACACATATTTAATCTATATATATTTAACATTTGATTGAAGTAAACTAATGAAAATAAATTTAAATATCATTAAGAGTATGAAGTTCAAAGTAGTAATAAGTAAATTCAGTGATGAGATCTAAGAATTCACTATTTTGGAATAAATGGCAGTCTGCCGGGGAGATACTTTTACTGAATTGTAACAAAAAAAGAAACTTAAGGAAGAGAGAATTCAAAGGAAAACACTTAAATTCTCGCTGAAGACAGATCTACAGTAATTTGCTGCTCTCAAGAGCACATCAAACAGATATAGTTGTGGTCCGTAGAAATGCTAGGAAACAGCAGCCAAGAAACTCACCTCAAACTCATCCCGAACAAGAGCGGTGACAAGGCAGTGTACAGCATTTAATACTGAAACAGTTTTGATGATGAAGGACACAAGCCCGCTCGGTTTCCCAAGCCTGATTATTCCTCCCCCAAGCTTACCCAGCATCTGTATGGCTGGACGGTGTCCCCACAGTCCCTGTGTGGATCCCCAACTTCATCTGTGAACGGATTGAAAGTGGGGCGTTCGGGAGACAAGGTTAGATGGCGTCACGAGTGTGGGACTCCCGGGCCGGTATCAGAGGCTCACACGCATGCCCCACGCTCCTGGGACGTACAGGAGACGTGCGTGCGCACAGGCAGGAGGAGGAGG